TGGGGTGGGGAGGGGAGGGGAGGGGAGGGGAGGGAGTGTTGCATGCTGGTTCTAATTAAGCACCTGCAAACTCTTCTGCTTCCTTTGCCCATTCCTCCAATCTGCTTTCAGTGTCCAAAAATGGGGTCAAATGAAAAAAAAATCATCTCCAATCAAAGGACAGTTTTGAAATATTTCCAGTGGAATTTAAGGCAGTCTGCACACCAGCCTGCTCTGGTGAACAAGCAGAAAGGATGAGAAATGCCTGATTGGTCCCAGATTGCCTGTTTGCAAGGCGGATAATGGCTTCAGTGGGGATAGGAAAATTCAGCCAAAACAGAGCTATGTTTTATTCCAGCTCCGCAGATGACTTTTTTCTCTACTTTTTCTCTATTCTCCTCTCCACTCAGCCACTCCCCCAATCCCTGTTTTACCAGGCATGGTACCCATATAACATTTTATGATTGGAAGTTGCCAAATTGTTGCTTTTTTGATGTGAAAGCCAGATTAGCCTTTTTCTGTAAACATCTGAGAGGCCCTTAAACTGTAGCCCACTCTGAATTGCGAAGAACGAATGAACCAGAAGTGTATTTTGAAGCCACAAGGAATGTCAGTGCTGCTCCATGAGGCATTTATAATAATCTTTCTTTGAGCAAGCACAGAAGGCTTTATCCTTCACCAAACCAGGTAACCCCACATCTGGTGCCCAGATGAGGTTTTTTATAGGTGTATTTAAAATCCTAGAACCTCCTTCTCCCTCCATTTGTAGGTTGTTTATTATTAGCTGAACATCTGAAGAGAAGGTACTGCTTCTGCATCTTTGGTAGAGGTACAGCTGTACTTTTGATGAACCTTCTAAAGGAAATTAGGACTCTTCCATTCTATTGCTGGTAATAGCTGTCCCTGAGAGCAGTTGTCCTGCTAAGAATAGAATTCCTTCTCCTTGGAAGGCAAAAAGGCAAATGACTCAGACTGTGTTGAGCGTTAAAGTTTATGGGCAGTCAATCCACCTCCTTTGCAGAATTTTATAGGGGGCCCAGATGTCACTGTCTTTCACTTGTCAACCTTCTCCCCCACCCCCCATCCTACCCCTTATTATCAGGATAGAAAGCAGGGGATGTCTTTTGATTAGAAGCGCTTCTCAAAAAGCACTCCCTGGAAGCTTTTGGGTTAAGATCCTGAAATCACATGCGTTGCAACAGACTTGTCTGGTCTGACCCGCAACCTTGAGTCTGTGGAGGTAATCAAGCTGTAGTTTGTTACTGAGACTGAAACCTTTTTCTTTTCTTTCTCTTTTCTGTTTCTTTCTTTTTGAATTTTCAGACACATGTTGTTGTTTGCATAAGTGAGTTTGTGATCTTTGCATTTTGTGTTTCTTCTGTAATGCAAAGGTAGATCCAGATGCTCACTAAATGGGCCTCATCTGCTTCTGTTTATGTTCATGAATGTGAAACAGAATGTGAGTGGCTGTAGCATAAATAAATGGCTTAAGTTCACAGAGAACTGCCTTCTTCCAAGTCAGACTAATAGTCCATATAACACAATCTATTGATTCACTATTGATTAAACTTGGGAGAAAACACTTTACTTTAAAGGAACCCTATCTGTTGTTCTGTATTAATGCAAACTGTACTTTTGCAAAAAAAAATATATTACCAATTCATTCCTGGTATCTCTGTTACCTTCTCAATCTTTTGTTCATGGAAAGGCTCCTAATACTATTAATTTAGAAGATTTAAACCTTACCTTTCAGAGCCAGGAAGGCATACAGTCTCAAATCTGATGCCATAGCATTTTACAAACTGCCTGCTAAATGTTTTGGAAATGTTAAGCAAAAGAGAGCAGTGATCTCGTGTCTTTCATAGCTCACAAACAGGAACCATCCATCTCCAGATTCAGGTATCTCCACTCAGCCTTTATAGGAGTGGCAGATTAGAAGGTCAAAGAGGCAGTGGCAGAGCCCCACCAAAGGTTCTTGGCAGTGCCAGCCCAGAAACTTTGGCAATTAAACATGAGGCAGGGTGTTGCCCCCAACAACCTGACAGCCAAACAGGAGGTGACCCCCCATCGATTGTAGGAAGCCATTCTGAACTCATGGCTGCTCCCAGCCCTACCTCTCACTGCTCAGGAACTGGTTGTTGCCTAATTTAGATAACTTACTTGGGGAAGTGTGAGAAAGGAAGAAAATATGATACAGGGACTTGAGGACATGTCCTATGAGGATAAGCTGTAGGAACTTGGGATGTTCAGTCTAGAGAAAAGGACTTAGGGATGATATGATAGTCATAGTCAGGGGAACTACAGAAAATATGGTCAGAAATTATTTTCTATGACCACAGAAACTAGGACAGATATATGTTGAAGCTACCTACAATTTCTTTGAATATAAGAAAAAGGCTTCCTGATGGTAAGTTCTGTACAACAGTGGAAAAGTCCATCTGCAGAAGTTGAGTTCTCCATTTCTGGAGGTTTTGAAGAAGAAGCTGGATAGCCACCTTTCATAGGGGGTTTAACTGGTTTTCCTGCATGTTGCAGGATTGGACTACATGATCCTTGTAGTCCCTTCCAATTATACAGTTCTTTGATTTGCAGTCTGGCCTCAAATATTTCATCCAGAATACCTGAAACCTGGAGATTAACCTGTAGTTTGCAAAAAACATCTATGCTATTTGGTAAATATTTAATTTTCTTTTAGATTTGATGCTTAAGCAAACAGCAGTGGACATCCACCTATTTATTAGCAATATATTTTTGCTGGAAAGCCACATTTCCACAGTGACAATGTGGAAAATCTTAGAGAAATTCCTAACTGAGCATTTCATTTCAGGTTTCGAGTATGAGCTCACTTTTTGAATGGAAAGAGGATAAAAAATACATTCTAAAAATCCTGCTACTAGAAAATAGCATGTCATGGAACAGACTATAAGTTAAAACGTTTTCTTGTGGCATGTTAAGTGGTTTATGTGAAGGGACATATTTTATTTAAATTGCCGTGTTTTTTTTTAATTGATTGACTATATAGAGTTATTTAGTTACAGTGACCCAGCACCGTGAAGATGGGCAACATTCTTAATGTTGAGGGCACTTGAATAAGATTCACATATTGGACTAAACTGCTTTTCTCCCTGGCAGGTCTACCTCCCCGGTCCTTTCTGATAAATTTGTTTCCTCTTGGGCCAAGGCAATACATAAAAAACTTGAACTTCTAGGTTTTTTCTTAACTCAAGTGCACATACTAAGGCAAGAACACACAGCAGAGACAATCAAGCAATGCTTCAAGGACACTGATATTCAAATAGAATGATGTTCCTCCCCAAAGAAGCATTTTTAAGTAGCCTTTGTACTCCTTATAGACCAGCCAGATACCTAAATCAAATTACTGTTTCCAAGCTAAGAAGGGCCCTAATCTTGGCATGGTTCAAACATGCTTCCATCAGTTGTTTTAGAGGGGAGATACAGAGACATCCCATTTAAATCCAGACTCTCCATGTGGTGAAGGAGTCACTGAAACCACCAAACATGTTTTATTATACAGTTTATTTTACACTTATACTCACTGGGAGTTAACACCACACCTAATTAAATATCCTTGTCACTCCAATCAGTTTTATTGAAAACTTTTACTTTCAAATGATTCAATTTCCTTAAGTGTAGCCAAATTTTGTCATGCAATATGTAAGATGTGCAGCAGTTTGATTGATCTGTTTACCAGATTGGTTAATCGGTAGCAACCTTATGTATGTAAGGTGTTTATGGACTGGTCATTGACTGCAATAAAGACTCTTCTTCTTTAAATAAAATTGTGCTTCTGATATCATTGAGTGTGCAAGGTATAATTCTATTTTTGAAGTGTTTGGGGGAGATTTTCAAGATTAAAATGGAGCCTTACATTTGCAACCACTGGATGGGTTTGGGGCAATGTTTAAGGGAATCTACTTGCGTCTTGAAATGATATAGCTCAGACAGACAAGGTTTTTCATCAGGACTAATGACTAGGCTGTGAAAGAATTGCTGGTGCTACCTCTAGATACAAAACATCCTGGGTGGGAGGGAATTGTCATCCACTATCCAAAATATGGATTGTGGGTCATGTCAAGCTAGACAGGACCTTGGAAGAATGTCATCAGGTTCAAGACAGCCTTGGATAAAATGGTTCTGCTGGACCTCTTGTCTTCCATTGATGGATTCTGGTGGGTTTACCAGAGAGCATAGAGCAACCATGCTCTAGTTAAGGATCTGTGCAGCTAAATGTTTCCCACATTCCCCTGAAATGATGTTAGGAGGAAAAGGGTTCATCTCCAGGAAAAGAGAAAAAGGAACAAAGTTATGCTTCCCGTTTATGTACACTGATATTACATATTAGATGTAAGTATAATGTAGAGAGAAATACGGTACTTTTCACTGTACAGGGCAAAAGTATGACCAGGAGCCTGCTGCTGTCCAGATGGAAACAGTTGCTGAGCAATTTTAGGGCCTCAACTTTCCATTCTTTGTGTTCTTTATCTTTAAGTAAGAATTAGATGAATGGGGTTGCTTTAAAAAAGTGAAGTTTTTTTTTATATATAGGGCTTATGGCCATGATGACATTGTAGAAAATTTTGAGGGTCCAAAGTAGGGACCATAAATGGAGTTCCAGAATCTTTATAGTGCTTATATCTTTAGTAGTTTCTCCTAGATTTTATACATAGAATCTAGTCTCTTTTGGGGGTCTATTAAGTCCCAGAGTAAAAGACACTAAGAAAAGTTATGACTTACTATTGATCAACACATACTTAGCCAAGCATTGTGCTTGCTATTATATTGATCATTAAAATGGTTGCATTTAGGCAAGGCCAGGTTAGGAAAGAGAGGTAGAGATTAGCAGAGATGGCACTCAAAGGGAAGAAGAGGTGAAAACTAATGTATGTCTCCCGTTTGCCAGGGTCTTGTGCTGGAAGGGAATCTAAGATGAATTTATGGGATGTGGTGGCTGTCTGCGTGGTGCTACTCAACTCGATCTCGACCTTTCCGCTTCCCGCTGGTAAGAGACCTCCTGAGAGGGCCCGCTCAGTGCTAGGAAGAGCTGAAGAAGACCAGACTGCCAGCAGGCTGCTGAATCCCTACGCTGGCCAAATGGATTGTAAGCACACATTCCCTTTTCTTGCTGCCACTTCTTGTTATTTTTACAGCTGCTTACTGGCCTTCAGCTTTTTTCATTTTGAGATGATCCAGTCAGCTCTGCCCTCTGATAGAGAGACAGGCTGGGGGGCCGGGACAGGGGGGACTAAGGAGGAAACAGTCAAGGAATTGCCATTGTTGCTTCTTAGTAGAAGATAAACTAGGCCCAAAGGCATTCCTGCAAATCAGTAGGATGCTACAGGCTGGTGCTTTGCTCTCCAGCAGGCCAGCTTCCTATATCTTTATTTTTTAATTCATCTTTTTAAAGTCAGGTGGGTGAGGAAGTTTGGATCCTCTATATAGCTATAACCACATAGTTGTTGAATAGAAGTTGCAGCCCCCAAGCTACATTTCAGAGATGGCTTCCTTGAGATTTGCTTCATATTAAGAACTTTACAATTTATAGTTTTAGACTTATTGACTCAAGTCCTACTGAACTCAGCTGGGCCCACCCCCGCGTGCATTGCGTTGCATCTTGGGAATGAAAGTCAGACTTTCTTGAAATCAAAATCCAATTAATCTTGGGATTTTCATAATGAAATGAAATATTTTCACTGGCAATATAATGCTGACTGTGTTAGTGTATATTGCAGGCTTTTATTCACTCTCCCTTCATGTGTATGTGGAAGGATGGCTGGGGAAGGGAACGGGGTTGTACTGTAATCTGCATCCAAGGAAGGTCATGTTCTATAACATCCATGCGGTTGGTGGAAGTATGTTTAATTCCTTGATGCTTTCAGGAACTCTGATCACCCCAAGGCCTTTGTTCATATGAAGGCGAGACTTAGCATTGGTATAATGGCTTGCCCTTAGGTCCCTTTCATGTGATCCTTCCAGCAGATGGTAGGAACTGAACGTGGCACACTGGAACATGGCACCGTCCTGCTTTCTCTTTTGTGTGATCCATATAATGGCTTGCTCATAGGTCCCTTTCATGTGATCCTTCCAGCAGATGGTAGGAACTGAACGTGGCACACTGGAACATGGCACCGTCCTGCTTTCTCTTTTGTGTGATCCATATAATGGCTTGCTCATAGGTCCCTTTCATGTGATCCTTCCAGCAGATGGTAGGAACTGAACGTGGCACACTGGAACATGGCACCGTCCTGCTTTCTCTTTTGTGTGATCCATATAATGGCTTGCTCATAGGTCCCTTTCATGTGATCCTTCCAGCAGATGGTAGGAACTGAACGTGGCACACTGGAACATGGCACCGTCCTGCTTTCTCTTTTGTGTGATCCATATAATGGCTTGCTCATAGGTCCCTTTCATGTGATCCTTCCAGCAGATGGTAGGAACTGAACGTGGCACACTGGAACATGGCACCGTCCTGCTTTCTCTTTTGTGTGATCCATATAATGGCTTGCTCATAGGTCCCTTTCATGTGATCCTTCCAGCAGATGGTAGGAACTGAACGTGGCACACTGGAACATGGCACCGTCCTGCTTTCTCTTTTGTGTGATCCATATAATGGCTTGCTCATAGGTCCCTTTCATGTGATCCTTCCAGCAGATGGTAGGAACTGAACGTGGCACACTGGAACATGGCACCGTCCTGCTTTCTCTTTTTCCTTTCCTAAATTCACTGAATGAATGAGAATGAACCCGCCCTTGTTTCTGCTTGCTTGAGTGCTATATTACATGAGAGTTTAATACTATTTATGTGACAGCAATCAGCCTTTTTTTTTTTTTGGCAAGCTTTGAAAGAATAGTGCCTCTCCAGTGAAGCTTGTAGATAGTCATGCCTTGCAATGGTTTTGCCTTGCTCTGTTGTAATAGGAATGGGATCGAGGAACAGCTCCTTATGTGCAAATGCAGATATATGCCATGGGTTGTAGCCACCCATTGGGCTCCTAGGGTGGGTTTGTTTTTCTTGTAGCAAATTATACAGTAGTTTTACTGCTGCTTTCTGGTGAGATAGGGATTTTCAGCCACTTTTGCCTCTTCAGCATCTTTCCAACAGATGCAAAACCACATCTGCATTCTTCCACTTTTCTGCCTTGTCTGTTCCTCCTTCTCTGTCTTCCCACTGGAATCTTTCCTGGGCTTCCCTCTTCACTTTTTGGAAAGAAGCCACAGGAATGATGCAAGTTAGCCAAAATGTTTAGACTTTTGCCATTCCCTTTTCCTTCTACTAGACTAACTCCTCTACTATGTTGTTGATTGTCTGGAGAGTTTCTGTACGATGAAGACTTTCATGCACAAATAGACATTCTAGAAAGTCTCAGGTTTCTGTCTTTAGAGCCCATCTTTGGTAGCTTTAGAGAAATATGATAGTATAATGAAAAGTCACAAATAAAAACCTCTGGCAATAAATGTCAGAAGTAAACTATTATTGTCCAGTTAATTATAATCATTGCTATTAGTTATTACTTGTAAAGTAGTTTAAAGGCCAATTAATTTCTTCATTCATCTAGCTAATTTGGTGAAAGCTGGGCTAGGAAATAACTATTTGCAAAGGGTCTCCCCAGCGGCCAGAAATATTTATAGTAAGAAATTACATCTGGATTAATCTTGGTGGTTAATTATAGTTAAATTTGGGGATGAGTTAAAACAAATTTGGTATCTTCTGAAACTCCAAAGTTTTCTTTGATCAGACTACTGCTGCTTCACAAGCTGAATAAATGGAGAAAATGTGATATAACATAGTCTATTGATATCTTTTGTCTAGTCAACCACAACCAGTCATATTTGTAGTTGCCTCTTTCCCCCACAAGCTGTTATATACATTAAACAATATATATTAAATATGTACTGTATACTCAGTAAATATACATTACTGAGTCAAGCTTCATGAAACATAGCAGTGCTGCATAGCTAGCTGCTCTCACTAAGACCCCCAAAAATATAGTTTTTGATCCTACCTCCCGAATAATATTTCATAAACTGGAATAAAATACTATTTAATATTATATGAGCTTTGAGGCATGTTTTGGATCACAATATATATGACTTGGATTGTGATTATCCCTATAACCTGCTCTTTCAAGTGTTTGCTCATGTACACAATAATATTGCTGGCCCCATGCACAGAATCGTGCTCCTGAACATCTCAATCTTGATGTTGTAGAGTTCTGTATGAAAATACCTAGGATCTTTCAGAACCATCAAGGATATAAGGCCTTCTCTCTTTCTTTCCCACCACAGGTAGGACTTGACCCTTTACATTGAAATTGTGTAAAATTTCAGTTGTTACATAATTTTAAAAAACTATTGGGCATGCGTATGTAAAATTGGCACATTTACATACCATTTATTAGTTTGCATAATTCTGAGTGCATTGCAAAACTGGATTTTGTTGTTTCAGAGGCATAAACAACTTAGAGTAAATCATTATTTATTGCACTGAAATATTTTTAATTCTCATTGCATTCAACAAGAAGAGATAGTATGGCATATGGTTTTTTTGTGGCCTGACCAGGCCTGGCTGCTGTTCTGCTGGCACGAGCCACCACTGGAATGAGTAAAAGGAATACAAACAGCTCAATTTTAGCCTTGAAGGGCAGCTGCGCTTATCACGAGGCCTGATGAGCTCACCTGGCTGCTAGCCAGGGCTGGTGTGGGGAGATTTTGGAGGTAGCAGTCTCATTGGTCCAGCCTGGTATATAGCTGGGGGGACACCCACCTTTCCTGGGGGATATTCTGGGGGACATTCTGCCAGTCTGATTAAAAATAGGAGAGTAAAGAAAGAGAAGGGAAGGAGAGAAAAAGTCTGCACATGGAGTGAACAGACTGGCCAGAGAGGAAAGTTGGAGATAGAAATTAAGTGTGTGGAGCAGTTGTTAATTCCTGGTTGGGAAGGGAGAAGAAAGGTCCAGGGGTGGCTTCCCTGGAAGAAGGGAAGTGAAGACCCAGAGGGATGAGCGCCCCACCCAAGACCCAAGGGGGGAAGGAGGGGATCAGCTGTCAGTGGCAAAGCCCTGGTCTCTGGGGAAGGACTGGGCAAAAGACCCTGAGAGAGGTTCTTCCCCCAATGGAGAAGCAGTAGGTGTTTGGCTGAGCAGGAGAAGGTCAAGCCATATTGAGCATGCTACGGTAAACTCCAGCTCAGCCCTACCCCACCCACCCCCCCCCCCC